TCCCGTGCTGGCGGTGCGTGCCTGTGTATCTGTTCAGGCAGTCCCTTCCTTCAGGGTGTCTCAGTTAAATTAAGTCGTAATAGAAAAGGGCTTTTCCACTCAACGTTGAGGTGCCCAAAAGACTTGAAGAAGACTTGGTGGTGATATTTTATATATGAGGAAACTTGGGTGCTGAGATATGGGATTTAAGGCCTAAATTATAGGAAGAACTTGCTATATTTGTGGAAACAGATTTGTTTTGTCATTTAGTGGAAATAATTTTATTTTGGAAGTATTTGTAAATTTGTTACTTGCCTTTAGATGCAAAGTTTTCAGCACACAGAGTTGCAGCTTTTTCTAGAGAGGGGGTTGCATAGACTTGGGTGATGCATGTATCTGTGATGTTTTTAAGAGAGCAGAGAAGACAGTATTTTCCCAGTAGTATTCATGGGGGTGTGATTGGTCTGGCAGTACTAGGAAGTGGAAGATCTTACTGGATTACTCATTATTCTTATACCTGCTAAATTTGGGCCCATCTGTAGCTTCAACAAGAAGAGAGAGAGAGAAGGATTTAATTCCTCACAGCTAGAATGTAATGAACGTCCTCATTGAACCCCAAACATTCATGTTTGTGCTTTTTGGTAAATTCTTCTCTGCTGCTAAGTCTGAAGGAGCCTGTCTTTGGGGAAGAGGTGCGTGGTGTCCGGACAGGTGTGGTGTGGGGGGGACATGTGGGGCAGTGGACAAGGGAAGAGGAGGCAAAGGTATGTCGGGGAGACCAGGTACATTTCATCAGGTGCGCACACCTTCACAGCCTGCCCATAGGTCACTTGCACCCTGAATCCAGGCCACAGCTTCCTTCAAAACACGCGCTGTGCATGCTGAGGAAATGTTTTCAAGTAGCGATACTAATCCAGTTCAAGATTTGTATTCTCACCTGCGCTGTCCGACACATTTGCCAGCATACTCAGTTTGGTTACTTCACCTTTTCTCCTACTGGCCTAAAAGTTTTCACACTTTCTGTACCCCCTTGACTTCAGAAAGACTAAAACTTTGCATTTCAAAGTCATCAAAATAAAAATTCTCATTTTAAAATTAATTCCAGTTGCCCAAGAAAGGTTGCACTTTTCTTTATTAAGGCAGGAAATTTTAGCATCTGATGGATCAAATGCCAGTGAAATCTCTCCCTGCTCAGCGTGCCCACATTTAATACTCCCCCAGATAAAATGTAAACCATGCGTGTTCCCCAGAGAGCAGAGCAGGCCCACCAGGTGGAAAGCTACTCCAGCAGCGAAGAGCGCGTCCCCCTCGACACTCCTGAGTCTTCTGATCCCCTCTGTTTTAAAACAACTTCTCCCAGGCGAACATTCGTTAGACCTAGAAGCATGGCCTTTGTGGTCTACCTGTTGGGTTTCTACTCTTGTCTTTTCCGATCACTTCCAGTCACGCTTCCTCCCCCAGTGCCCAGTCGCTCTTCCCACTTCCTGTTTGTGCCCTCCGGACATTTTTAAGCAATAATCACATTCCCTCCCCTTCGTTTTCAGTTAGTTCAGGTCTACTATTTAGTTCTTCTAATCCTGCCTCATAAAACGATCCTTTCAGCTTCTTAGTCATGCCTGCCATTTTCCTTTGAACTTATTCCAGTTTGTCTCCATTTCTCTGGTAATGAGGTGCCTGAAATGAAACACAGTGCCTAAGGTGTAGCTGAATGAAGCCACGTCGCGGAATGGGGGTCCTCTGCAGCGTGTGCCCACACCTCGCCAGCCCAGAGCTCTTCTGTCACTCTGGGAGGGCTGGTATTGTTTCTGTTGAGGCCCAATAATTCCTGCGTCCCTAAACTTCAGTGAGTAGTCGGCTGCATCCCCCTCTGTGCCTTACTTAGCTCGTGCTGGTTTCCCTTAGGAATGATCCTTCCTGTCCTCCAGGGCCAGCTGCCACATTCTTCAGGAAACTTGCCCGCCCCCGCCGCTGCCCAGATTCCAGCAGTAACTCCTTATGCCCCTCTGTGGGCGTTCACTACACAGTTGCGTGCACGGAGGACTCAGTATTGATTTTTTGCAGTTTATTTCCATTCGGCCTCACACCCTGTAGCTCCCCCATTTAAAGTGCACAGTTCAGTAGCTTGAGTGTGTCCTCAGGATTGTGCAAACATCACCACAATCCGTTTTCAAACATTTTCCTCATTCCAAAAGGAAATCCATTTTTACTAGTCACTCGTAGTTACTCCAGTCCCGGGAACCATTAATCTACTCTGGACTTGCCTATTCTGAACATTTCATAAAAGTGGAATCATAACATATGTGGCCTTTCGTGACTGGCTTCTTTCACTTCACATAATGTTGTCATGGTTCATGTTAGTTCATATATCAGAACTTTCATTTCCTTTTTATTGTCGAATCAGTCAGTACTTTTTGAATGACTACTTTATACCTTCTATTTGTCCCTGTTCAATACCTTAGAATATAAGATTTATGCCTTTAAAAATACATGTAACTTTGAAGGATCGGTTATGTATTTTTATGCATTTTATTGCAAAATTGATGTTGGTTGTGATATTAAGTTATACAGGAACAAAGTCAAAAGTACTTCTGCCCACTCAAAGCAACCATTCTTAAGAGATTTTTTTCTTCCTATACATTTAATATATATATATAGGTATATAGCTCAGTCCACACATACATCTCTCTCACCCCTTACCCAGAGGTCAGTTCTAAGTCTTTGTTTTTACAAATTACCTTGGTAAACATGCATACATTCCTGAGTCTCTTGCCCTATGAGGTGTAAAGTGCAGTTAGTGCCTGACAGAACATGCTTGGTAACTATTAGGTGTTATCAGTATTACTGTTGTTTTTTATTGAATAGGTAAGGTTGCTCCCAACGAGCATGTTCATGGAAAAGCATAAAGAACCAAGTTTTAATCACCCTGTTGATAGGATCTAGATTCTGTAAGCCAAGAGTTAGCATGCTGCTTCTTCAGTATATCAGAGTTTAGAACAGATGGAGCAGTTTTCTTTTTGCTGAAAGTTGACTAGACGTCCAGGACATGCAAAAGCAGATGTAGCCCACACTAAGTCTTGGTACATCTCAGTGTCCAGCTGGATCAGATGAGCATGAGCCTCTGTAACAGGTAAACCTAGGAGCAGAGGTGCCTGGTAGATGCTGCTCGCTGCAGGGCCCAACCAGGTACACTGCTAGGTAGGAGGCTGCACTCTCAGGCCTGTTAACGGAGCGAAGCCGGCCACGCAAAGCGAGGACTCTGTGAGTGGTGTCGCTTTAATTTCTCATGTTATTCCTTCGCAGGAGTACTCTGTAGTGATAGTCCAAGCCAGGTATCTGCTCTTCACTCTGCTCAGTGGGGGTCATGAAGTTACTAGTGGACAAGTTTTTGTTTATAACATTCTTCAGTTTTTCTTCTGCTTATTTAAAAATCACTACCCATGTGGCCCTCCCTGGTGGCGCAGCAGGTTAAAGCACAGCACTGAGAAGCTAAAGCCACTTGTGCATGAGTTCGATTCCCGCCTGCCCCGGAGGTGACCACATGGCGTGGCAGACCTCTCCTGACCCGCCCGCTGCTCCCCTCAGTGGTGTACTTCGTCGATCTGCCTGTTCTGCTCCCCACTCTGTCTCTGGTGAAGCCTCTCACTGTCCCTGAGCCTCTGGCCTGTACCCCAGTTCTGTATGTACAAATAAATCTTTAAAAAAAAAAATCACTACCCATGCATGACAGAATGTTGGTGTAGCTCTCCCACAGAAACAGCTGCTGCTTGTCCTTGATCTCCCATGAGTGCTCCTGTTCAGCTCCCAAGATCTAGATCCCATTTTTCTTTTAGTGACATCTTTCCAGGCTCCTGCAGGATGAAACAGCCTGATGTCTCCCACTTCGCCTGTCGTGCCTTGGATGTTATGTCTACTGTGCTGGGTTGTAATTCTCTGTCTACCTGTTCGTCTTTTCCATCAATCCAAATGGCTCTTCAGGATAAGAACCAAATGCTTAATTTCTCAGCACCTAGCACACTCCCAATATACACTCTTCAAGAATGCTTGAAGAAATGTCAAAGAGAATGTTTAAAACAGTAGGAACTTAGAACAAGCAGGAGACTGTCTTGTATTTCTCAAAACAATCCCTTTAGCTAAATGAGCAGGCTTAAAATAGGGTAGTCTAATGCATGAGGAAAAAGTAGTACATAGAAAATGGGTTGATCCTTTAGATGATAAGTTCTCCCAAGGGAAAGAACCATTTGCAGTCCAGAGATCGCAGCCAAGGTTATCCATGCCCCTCTCCTCCCACACACCTGTGGTGCTGTGGCGTGGTGGGAGAAGGTGCTGTTTGGACACAGCACTGGGGTTGGGGTCCCTATCCTGCAGATCACCCTGCCTGTGCTAGCTGCTACCTCTGGAGGCCTCATTTTAATTAGCTGATATTTCCTTCTACACCTTTCTGGTGGCTAATTGTGATGCAGGAGTCTTCCCTCACTGCTTCCTTTTGTCATTCCCCCCCCCAACTTTATTAAGGTATCTTTGACAAAACTGTGAGATATTTAAAGTGATGATTTGCTCTACATCTGTATTACAAAAGAATTTCCAGTCAAGCTAGTTCACACATTCGTCAGCTCACATTGTTCCATACCCACTCAGAGGTGTATGTGTGCACGTATACTTACTCATGACAGTTCCACTCTTGGCAAGTTTCAGTTATGCGATACAGTGTCACCAAAAGCCCAAGACTTCATTCATCTTGGAGCTGAAAGTCTGTGCCCTACTTACCAACCTCTTCCCTAATTCCTCTAACCCCCCGCCCCAGCCCCTGGTAACCATCTCTTCTCTTTGAGTTTGACTCCCACCCCAGGTTTTACATATAATTGATACCATGCAGTACTTGAATTTCTCTGTCTGGCTTATTTCACTTGTCATAATGCTCTCCAGGTTCATTTATTTTGCAAATGTGTCATTTCCTCATCGACAAACTGCTCGGATAGGATGGTGTGAGACTTTCTGAAATCCACCTGTCCTTTCCCTTTCAGCTGCAGAACGAATTAGAGAAAGGCGAGCGGGATAATGCAGAGCTGCAGGAGTTTGCCAATGCCGTTCTCCAGCAGATAGCAGACCACTGCCCCGACATCCTGGAGCAAGTGGTCAACGCCTTGGAAGAGTCATCTTGACCCTGCGTGGTGGGGAGTGGCCAGCCCAGCAGCCCAAGATCGTGCACCCAGCAGTCAGGGAAGGAGACTATGAGGACTAGACACCCAGAAACTTCTTGGCACAAAACACTACAAACTGCATCCTGGCTTCCTCCGTCCTTCCAGTGTGGTTCCAGCACCATCTCCACATCTGTCCTGCTCTGCCTTCCTCCTTTGGGTGTTCTCTCTGCACTAGCTAACTTGATATCCAGGGTGGGTGAGCAAGTGGCCAAGTCTTCACGAGGAGCTGCCTCCGGTCATCCATCATCAATCGACAACGTAGACTGCGGAAGCTGGGGGCCCCGCCCGAGAGGGGGGCTTGGAGCAAGGCCCGCCTGCCTTTGTCCTCCGTGTGCAGGCTCAGCCTGGACTCCAAGTGGACTTCAGCAAAGTGAGAGACTACTCTCAGCGGGCCAGAGATCTGAGTGTCCTAATATCACAACAGGTGCTTTCTCCTAAAAGGGTAAAAAAAAATCTCAAAAAGAGTATTAGAAAAAGAGGGGGAGGGAGAACAGGAACTCTTCTTTTTACTGGTTCTTTTGTTGACCTTTCATGTAATGTTTTGTGCTGGGGAGCCGCAAGTAGGCCTGGTGGTGGCTTAGAAAACACTGATCCCCGGTGCTGTCTGTCTTGCTCACCTTGCTCTTCTCTCAGGTGGTAAGGAAGAGGATGGTATGAAGAGATCTCCCCCTTCCCCTCTTGTTCCCGCCCTTTGACCTTATGTACTTAAGCTTGTAAGTTTGTCAGATCACATGTCTCTAATTAAAGGAGAAGAGGATTTGACATGTGCTGCTGCTGTCACCAGTGCAACTCTGCTTCTGTGAAGATGATGTTCCTGGGGTCCGTGGCTTCTCCTGAACACATCCCACATCTGCATTCTAGGCCCCTGAGCGCCAAACACTTCTGCCTTCCCATCACCCAGGCTCCAAGATCTTGCAGCCCTCTCAGTCACTGAAGTCTGTGACCTGCCTCCCGACCTTCTGGCTTCTTTCTTGACTTGCTCTCCTGGAACCTCAGCTTTGTGCATTGCCTGGAGCCTCCTCCTGGCACAAACGAGTGTTCCTCATCCCACACACATTCCTTCCTCCATTTGTTCATTCATGAACTGCCTGTCTACAAGTCACTAGTAGGCCCCCAGCCTTGAAAAATCCCTCAGTGAGGGAAGGTGTGGGATTCTGTAAGACACGTGACTGAGTCAGAGCAGTAAAAGACATGCTCTTTCCCTCCCATCTTCATAAAAGGGATCTTTTCTTAAAAAAAATCTTTCACAAATCAGCCAAATTTTAATAGATAGAGGGTTGAATTTTTCACCTGTCTGTAGCATCCCAATTGGTAATTTAGGGTTTTTGTTTATTGTTACTGACCTGAAAGAGTACTGTGTAGGGACTGTGATGGTGGGTGGATCTTTTCAACATGTCTGTGGCCCTCTCATGATCTATGGTCAGCTCCACGGTGCCAGTCAGAAAATTGACCCCAGAATTTCAGGTCCAACTGAAGACACTGGCATTTTGAAGGGCCTTCTTCCAAGCTTAGACAGTGACAGTCTTAAAGACTCAAGCCTCAAGAAACTGACCACTTTGTCAAACCCAGCCCTCTGGCTAGACACCACCAGACACGCCTTCTGATAAGAGTTGCTGGGCTAAATGTTTTGGCTTGCATTTTCTTCTTCCCTTTCCCAGTTACTCAGCCACAGAATCTAATGCTGTCGGTAAAGTCATCAGAGCCATTAGCCTGGTATCTTCCCACCAGCAGCCCTGACTGTCCATTAACTTATATGGTCAAAGCTCCAGCTGCCCTGATAGCCTGATGTAAAGCTCTCTCCCTGTGAGAGAGTTCCTTACTGAGGTTTAAAGGGGTCCTTCTCATTACCGTGTTCTGAGATGCTTCCTGATAGTCAGGCTGGCTACCGGGTGGTCAGGGGTTAGAGAGGAAGGGTTGTTCATGGTCAGTTACCTCAGTTCCATTTATTCATTGCACTGCCCATAGATCATGTAGAAAGTACCCAATATTTTAGGTATCAGAATCTTGCTTTATCGACCATAATGCAAAGAGCTGAGGTAGATAACACCCCTCATCGTCCTTCATAGGACTACAGCAGGAAACAACACAGAAAGTAGAAGAGGCTGTACCCAGAGAAGCTGCCTGGCCTGGGTCTTCGGTCTGACGGGTGGCAGCAAGCAGGCCTCCCCGCCCGGCTCTCACCCGCTGGCCCTTTCCACCCACTACCGCGCCAGCTCTTGTCCACTCAGCGTGGCCTCCTGCGCCCCGTGCCTTCCCCTTAGCACTGCAGCCCTTCCGCTGGCATCCCGCTCAGTGCTCGAGAATGTGCTCCGGACATGTTTCAGAGAAGGAAGCTTGTGAGGCAGACGCCATCTGTCTGGTCTCCAAACCACAGCAAGGAGTCTCCTTGACCCTTCTCTGGCGGTCTAACTGGCGTCTCAAATGATGCTGGAGACGGTTTGGTCTGAGAGGAGAGTCTAGTCGGAACGCAGCTGCCTTTTAGAGGGCAAAGTGAATGCGGCTTCTGGCACGGAGCATCTTACGGAGTCGAGATCATTCGCTGAGCTGGCATTTACTACATGCAGTTGCCGTCAGATGAGACTCGGCATGCCGAAGGGCTGGAGCCTTGCAGACCACTGCAGGTTGCCCGTGATGCCCCCCGTACCCTCCTTTGTGGAGTCTTGTTGCCTTTTGGCACATAAAGATGCGTACTCCAAGTCAAGGGCATGGAGAAGGAGACCGAAGAGGTGGAATCCTACTTGGGGCTCATGACTGAGAAAACGTCCATTGCACTTTCTCATCCTTCCGTATACGTCTCTCCCGGGAGCTTCCTGAGTCCTTGATGAAGTAGCTGGACTGAGATCTGCCAGGCCTTGGATACCATCTTTTCAGTGGGCTCTAACATTAAGAAAGGAGAATGACCCTGCCCAAATCCATCTCACTTCTGACCTCTCACCTGGACCTTACCCCATAAAGATCTAAGTGTTTCTCTCGCTCTTCCCAACACTTGGACGTTAGCAAAACTAGCAAAGCAGCCTGAACCCCGACTGCAGCCCACAGTGAGACTGCGCTTTGGAAGCGAAGTCTGGTTTTCCACGAGGGACTCACGGACTCAGCCGAGAGTGAGAAGAGGGGCTCCTCCGAGAGGGAGGATGACGCCTTCGCAGAGGTTTAGTCAGCTGCTGAACAACCCCCTTCCCGTCCCCCCCCACACCCCCCCGCAGGTGGCCAGGACTGGCACTGAGACTTGCTGCTAGCGCCCCACCGACCCCAGAACCATCTGCCCTCCTGTTTGACCCCATTACGTCAGCAGAGGCCTGCTGGCTGCCTCCAGATCTTTGAGGAAAGAGCAAATAGGAGGATGTTCCCACATGGCAGTGGGCCTTACAGGCTCTTAGTCACCGCGGGCCCGTGTCAGCAGTCGCTGCCCCCCGGCAGCGCCTCCCCACCTGTGAGAGTCACGTGGAAAGGAGAGAAGAGTCGAATCAGAGGGCCCACAGCAAAACAAGCGAGGCCGACCCATCCATCACTGCCAGCCCCTGGGCGTCTCCGGACGGTCACTTGAAACAATGTGTGTGTGTGTGTGTGTTTAAGTCCGAGTTTCCCTCACGTGACCTAGGGGAGTATTTGGGCAAGGGAAGCGACACGCTGTAGGGAAATCCTTCTGAACAAAATGGCTGTCTTTACTTACTCTTTTTAAGCAAAAACTGTTTCCAAACTTTTTAGTGTCAAAACTGTAACCAAGTGTCTCCTGATTTTTTCCAATGTGTTTGGCGAGTGCTGTGACCCTGTTGTAGGTATTTCTCCTCCTGAGTCTTTTGGGGGAGAGGTGGTTTTAGGGATTGATTTGGGGGAGCAGACTTTTGTTCCCCTCCACCCCCTCTTTTTGTTTCTCTGCTTGTTGATATTGTCTGTGTGGTTCAGAAAATCGGGGCAGTTACATTGTGTCCATTGTTGAGATTATTAAGATATTAAAAAGTAGTTGTAGAACTGAAAACCTAAAAGAGCTGTGTTTCAAAACATGCAAGACCAGTATCATGTTGTTAAAGGAACTCGAGCTCCGAGGCAGCCAGACTCCTCGCTCCTCCCAGGCTGGCCTAGGTGGCACCAGTGCCCACCGTGCAGGTGGGCGCCTTCCAGGTGTCGGCGGCATCTGCCCAGCGGAAGGCACAGGGTGGGGGGCGCAGAGCACGCGCCCGTTTGCGGCAGCCTTAGGCCCCTGAGCGGAGGTCGCAGCCGGCCCTTGGCAGCGCTCACCCTACACCGGTCCCAGCTCAGTGTGCCTCGTCCTGTGTGGTAACCTGGGCTCGCCTCTGCAGCCCACACCCGGCGGCAGCCCTGCACAGGTCCCGGAACCTCCTTCCTGCCCACTTGGTGCTATATCATCCAGTGACCCCTCCAATACAGGCCAACCACCGGCCGGCCTGGAGCCCGCAATCCAGGTGACTGAAGGATTCTCAGATCTCAGTTCCTCCTGGCATCGGTCCCTAGATTCTTCCCCTTGAACCTCTCTAGAGCCCAGGTCACCCAGCCCAAGCTGTCTCCCTCGGCCCCCAGAGACCCCATGGTCAGGAAAGGGGTGACCCTGCTGAAGCCTGAGACGGTGCCCTGGGCAGAGCCTTGCCCTCCGCACCACACAGTATTGCACTCGGCCTCTGACGCAGCTAGACCCACCTGAGGCCACCCTCACGCCTCCTGGCCTGCCGCCCCACGCACGACTAGCCCGGAACCTGCCTGCACATCAGGACACCAAGGGTGGAGACTTGGGGTCTCCCTGGGACTGCTCCCCTCAGCTTCAGAAGGAAGCGCTGCACTTTAGGAGGCCCAAAGAGCACTGGGGACTGACTCCTTGCAGCTTGAGTTCCTTTTGGTGACTGTCGCAGCCGCAATGGTGGTGTCTGATGCAAATGCACCTGCTGCCTTCAACTGTGTGTGTGTGTGTGCGCGCGTGCGTGGGCGATGGCTGGAGTCACGTTGCTGACAGGATAATGACATTACAGAGAAATTGTGTTCTAGTCAACTTTGCCTTGATAATTATTGTAAACACTTTGTTCATTTTTCTTTTTTATTCACAAACTAAATCCATCAGGAAATTATAAAGTTATTTAAAATTGGGCGCTGTGTCTCTCTCTGAGTCTCCTATCATGAAGCGTGATGCTGCTCAGGTGCCGGACAACAGGGAGAGGCCCGCAGGCCCCACGAGCCCAGCTCCAGGGTAGGTCAGCGGAGAGCCAGAGATGCCCAGGGCCACGGGAGGCAGCGGGAAGAGGACTCGCCGGCTGGACAGGCCTGGCGGGGAGACCACGTGCTTTCAGGTTCCGCCTGATCTTGGAGTTGCAGCACCTGTCATGGCCTTTCAAAGTCAATTTCCACCTTTTTCCTTCCTTACATCCCAGGCCCGGAGCCAGACCCCCCACTCTGGCTCTAACTGTCGGGAAGGCGCCCCTGTGTCAGGAAGGGGAGCACCGTGAGGGGCAGCTTGAGAGGTGTGTGCGGAACTCGGGTGCCAGCTGCCTTGGCTGTTGCCGAAGCTAACAGGGATGTGAGCGCGGGGGCCCCCAGCAAGCGTGAACCCGCGGGAGCAGCAGCGGGAGGACCTGCGCTTGGGAGAGCCCCAGCTCCGGTGTTTGTCTTGGGCCCTGCCCGGAATATGAAATGATCCTGGGGTTTCTCTTGTGAGAACGAGGCCTCTGCTCAGCTGCGTGCCTGTGTCTGGCAAGGAGGCTGCTGCTCCGGCTGTCTCCTCTCCCGTGTGGGGGCACGTGGGGAGTCGGCTCTCACCCCCTCGCTCCCGCCAGTGGCGCCTGGGGGGGCTGCACCTGCAGCCGGAGCTGTTCCCAGGACGAAACCTGCGCTTCCATCGTCCCTCACACGACACCATATGAAGCCACTGCCACCAGCAGCTGTCCAGAGCAGACAGGTCATACTGGTCAGCGGCTGCCATTATTCTCCGTCCACTTTTGTGCGCTAGTTTGCGTGCTCCGGGCTACCGGCTCACGCAGACACAGATGCCGAGACCACGAGGCTGAAGGAAGGTGGGAGGGAACTTGGCGCTGAGACGTCCCAGCTGACCAGGTTTTTGTCTCTGGGTTGGTGTTCTCTGGTTTTTGAGGTGAATACCTCAGGCTAGCTCGAGGACTGGCCACGCCCTGGCGTGAGGTGAGTGTTGAGGCAGGTTTGAGATCCATACGCTTTCCCACGTGGCCCGAAAACGCCCTGGGTTCGCAGCCCCGAGCCCCCGTCCACCCCTTTCTGACCTCTCAGCCTCTCTTCAGCCTCCCCTGCCTGAAAATAACGCTGCCTCCATCGAGGTCACAAGCCATGGGATAACATGACTAGAGTTTCCTTCTCTAAAGGTCCTTTAACACTACAAGCATAAAATTGCTTTGTTCGTACAGGCAATTTGCTTTAAAGTCACCCGGTGTGGTGGTGGAGGAGGAGGCAAGGACCTGGACATGGATACAAACTGGTTGGGCAGGGGTCAGTCCTGGAGGCTGCGGCTGCGCCATTGTGAGGACTCAGTGGCCACACGGCTCCCTTTGTTCTGCGTAGGTCTGAGATGTTCCTGAGCATTTGAATATTCACATCCTTCTAGCACAGGGGCCCATGTACCTCCCCCTCCGGATGCGGGGATCACACCCCACAGTGCCCACCGCCTCAGTCCTCACCCCGGGTCCGCACCAGGCACACACACAGCAGCTAGTGGGCAACTCCAGGCCCAGTTCTGTTCTCAGCGCTCCGGTGCTTGCTGCATTCATTGTCATCACGTTCCTGGAAACATTCACAGAAATGTGCGTGTGTGTTCTTAAATCAGAATTTCCCTCCTGTGGCGGCTGATAGCATAGAGTGAGGCGGGAACGCTTCCCTCCTCCCTTACAGATGAGCACCCCAAGGTCAGGTAGGGCTAAAGGGGGTACACACACCTGTCTCGGGAGCTCGAGTCCTGCGGCGCCTCGGTGGCCACTTCTCTCATGTCCAAGGAGGGAGCCAGTCCGTGGGTGTGCGAGCACAGGAAAGCAGGAACGAGGGTTCTTCACAGACCTCATGTTCACCACATGCATTTTGTCGGCAGAGTTGTTCACGGGTGAGGAGAGGCAGGAAAGACAGCATAGGCCCTCCCTGGTGGTGCAGCAGGTTAAACCGCAGCACTGCAAGCTGGCCCCAGCCACTTCATCACGAGTTCGATCCCCGCCTGCCCCAGGGGTGACCCACAGGGCGCAGCAGACCTCTCCTGACCCGCCCGCTGCTCCCCTCAGACTGCACTTCATCAGTCTGCCTTCTCTGCTCCCCACTCTGTCTCTGGTGAATCCTCTCACCACCCCTGCACCTGTGGCCTGTATCCCAGTTCTATATGCGTAAATAAACAGATCTTTTTTAAAAAAGAAAAGAAGACAGCCTGAGCAAAACAGGAGGTAGGAAAGCGCAAGGGTGGTGGGGCAGGGGCAGCCAGGGTGGGCAGCAAACGCTGCTGGGCCGAGGAGCCAGGAGGCTGGTGGCGCTCAGTGCGTTTGAAGAGGGGCTGGCCAGGGCGTCCTCAAAGGTGCCTCATGACCTTGAGAGGAAGGCCGGCTCGGGAAGCGCGAGTCACCCCGCCAGCGACCTCACCACAGCCACCACAAGAGGATAATCCAAAAAGAAAAGCATCCGGCTGTGTCACTCCGGAAAGTTCCTGGCCTTGCTCCCCTGAGGCTGGCGGAGAGGACGTGGGGAGGCTGGAGAGTGGGGAGGCCTGGAGCGCCGAGGGCCCTTCCACACACAGTCACTCAGCCTGGAAGGGAGGGCTGGGCCAGACCCCGTTGGTCCGTCTCCACACCTCTCTCGGGTGCGTGCCACTGGCTCACAGCACCATCAAAGGCAGGGAGGAGACCATGTGTGGTCTGGACTGAGGAGACTCCTACCAGTCATCAGGAGTGGAGACCTGGAGACCGGGTGGAGGGTGGGGTTCAGAGTGGGAACTGCTCTGCTTGCCTTGGTTCACCAGCAGGAGGAATGCACGTCCCATCGGGATTCGTGTTGTCGGGCTCTGGGGGCCATTTATTCCTCGAGAATTGGGTGATGAAGTGAGCTGAATGTTCTCACCTTGGAGGGAAGTGGTCCCGGGTGGGAAAAGGATGGTGGTAGAAGACTTAGAAGGGCCACGTCAGCCACAGAGACCGTCCCCTGGCCCTGTCGTCTGGAGAAGCTATTACCCTGCCGTCAGTGGTCAGTGGTGACTCACGGCGCCCTGTGCTTGTCCTCCTGTGCAAAGGACACCCTGTCTTCCACCCGGCTGGCCTCGGTCCCTTGGCCCAGCCTGTGAGGGTGTAGAGCACAGGGGGAGAGCTGGACGTGTGGTGGAAAAACGTCTATCGAATGTCTGCAGGGCTTCCAGGCCCAAAAGCTAGCCGCTGATGGAATTCGCTTTCAAGAGGCGGTTCCTGTTTGATTCATTCTGGACTGGAATTTTTTTATGATTGTATTCTGAAGGGTTGTCGGAAATGAGGCTTTGGAGGGAATCTGTTTGCAATCATAACTTGCCCTGGGGCTGTGTGCACGGTGTAATAGGTTGTGTCCTGGGCTCCGTACTGCGTGTCTGCAGCCTGCCCGCCTGGGAACGCAGAACCAAGAACCTTGGCGTGATGGCCAGGACCATCACGGGCAACCTGAGTGGATGGTGACCTTGGGGCTGAAGAGTTTTCGATTGTTCTGAGTACTATTTTTTAAGATTTACTTTATTTATGCATACAAGAACAGGGGTACAGGCCAAAGGTGTGGAGGGTGAGAGGGTTCACCAGAGACAGAGTGGGGAGCAGAACAGGCGGATGGTCTGAAAGACACTGCTGAGGGGAGCAGAGGGTGAGAGACAGGAGAGGTCTGCTGCGCCCTGTGGGTCACCCCCTGGCCTGGGATGGAACTTGTGCTGCGGTGGCTGCTGATAGCTTCGTAGCGCTGACTTAACCCCTGTGCCACAGGGAGGGCCTGTTCTAAGTATCGATGTCAGGATAATCCTAAAGCTTTAGGAGTCATTTGACTCTAGAAGTCAGTCTGCCTTCCTCATCCCTGGGCTCACTGGTGGACATCCCCATGGCCGGCTCTCCAGGGGATGCCGTGCTGTTGTGGAGTGGGGGGCTGTCTTCAGGCTACACCACTGCTTGCCCAGGTCTAGACTCGGGGGGCTCCAAGGTTGTGGGGAGCAAGATGCCTGTCCTACCGAATGGACAGAGAACCAGTTTCTCCATTTCAGGTCAAAGTAGGTCTTGGCCTGGGGGAAATGCGGCCTGAGTTTGAGGCAGGTGGGCAGGCCCAGCAACCTGAAGAACAGGGTTCCCACCTGGTTTCGCTAGTTATAAGGTCTACACACTTAGAGAATCCGCTTGGTCTCCTTGAGCTTCTGTTGTATCATCTTAAAGACAGAACTGATGCCCACTTCCCAGAGAGCACCCAGCAGTTACCCAGCAGCCTTTCATTGCTTTAGATCAGCTGGGCTGAGGCCTCTCAGCACCCCCTATCATTAGGACAGAGTACAGGGACACCCACATACTGCCTTGCTTATAGTCTCAAAGGTGGGACCATCCCCTTTAGAGTCACCCCACTGTCACCAGGGTGTCCAAAACCCTCTATAGATGTGGAATCTACGGACAGGAAACGCGTGGAATGGGAGTCTGGGGCGGGGTGGGGGTCACCCCCTCATTCTGCCCTGTTCAGGGTCCCTGCCATTCCCCTCTGAACTCAGGACAGCATCGCCGGCTGACTCTGGGCCGCCTTCCTGGGAGCCTGGGCCCTGCGCCGGGCTGAGTCCCGTCCCTGAGGATCTCTTGCCAACAATCATATTGCTTCTGCTTCAGGAGGTAAAAAGCCCCAGATGCCAATGTGCCTGCCTCATCCGCGGGGCCTGCGCTGTCCTCCTGCAGGGAGGGGCTCGTGAATGCGAGCTTTGTCTGCCCTGCCTGTTAGTCACTGTGACAAAAGAGACCAGGGAGACTGGGATCCTCGGCCAGGGTGTCACATCATGGGGTTTAGGCCTCAGTGTATAGCAGCCTCCGGTTCAGACCCCTCTGGCCTCTCCTACAAGGACTAAAACCTGCAAAAGGTATCTGAGGTGTCCCCATTCAACCCCAGAGAGGAGGGAATGCTT